GAAAAACACTGAACCCCACTGGACAGGTCACCACGCCATCACAGACAATCACAGTCTTACTGTGGGGAAATAAAAAAGGCTTGAATCTGACGCTCTGCATGCATAAATACATAATATTTGGTAACTTGCTGATTGGTTGGCTGATTGTAGCGCTCACTGCTGCCCCAGGTGGCCATATGTATTAATTCAACACAGAAGAAGTGTTCCAACATCCCGGTGATATTTCTTATATCTTGTGAAAATGTTTTTCTTTCCTGCATCTGTGCTGAGCATCGCTCGCTGTTAGCACCAAGCAAGCAAACCAATTTTCAATTGCTCTCATTTGACCAGGTTGTGATCTCAAACCTGCAGCTCAACACGCACTCACAGCAATCGCACATTTGCTGCCAAGAACATGAAATCAATCTGAGCTGCGGCTCGGTTCAGCTCTGAAAGATACGCTTGGTTGTAATCACCCCTTTCTGCAGGCAACAAGTGTAATGATAACATGGTGTAACTAATTATGGCTGCCAGCATGTAATAAATGTGCTGCTTTGGGGAGACGTTAGAGAAATGATTATTATTGTCACTGGTTTAAGCAATGGGATGAAGAGCACAAGCACAGTCAAACCTACAGTTTCCAGCCAGTAGCGGTCCAGGTCTAATCTCCTCTGCTGCTTGTTGAGTGTAACTAGCCAGCGCCCGCCACGCTTGTTCCTCTCATCCTCCCACATGGGTTCAATGCCATCCTGCAGCGATAGTTCAAATTGTCAGCACACATCCCGAGCAGCCTCTAAGAACGAGGTTTCAACGTTGGCTGCAAGCAATGTATCTATCCCACAGTTAGGCATTATATGTTTGCGACGGATAAACGAAAAGATATCAAAAGTCAGCGTGTATGCAGCGAGTGCTGAAACACCTTTTTCTTAAAGATTCACCTTCAACTTATTTCCAGAGACGTTTTTATTTCCAAGAAGATTTCCTTAATGTAAATTTGTACAGATGATGGCTGATAATCACTGGTGTGATCCTACATAGA